TTCGAACTCCTGACCTTGAGCAATCCGCCCGCCTCGGCCTCCCAAGAGCTAGGATTACAGGCGTGAGCCACAGCGCCTGGCCATGCCTATGACTGGAAACACCACTGTTTCTTCTTGTATGTTTTATTACTTTAGCTCATCTCTTTCATTATAAGGATCGCTTCCTTTAATCCCAGTTTTTGTTTTGTTTTGCTTTTTTTTTTTTTTAAAAAACTTCTGACCTACAACCATCTGGCAGGGAGGAGCGACCATCTCCCGCCAGGGCCTCCCGTGCCCCCCAGGATGTGCGTCTGGGGCGCAGGAGAGCGGGAAGGGGGCAGGGTTAGAATTTGTTGAACATTTACCACGTGCCCGATGGGACATTATCTCCTTCAGTCTTTTGAAGAATCCCGTGGGAACGGTGAACAGCACTTCCATTTTAAAGATGAACAAACTGAGGCCCAGGGAGATGAAATTACCTGCCTAAGCCCGCACAGGTGGTAACAGTTATTGTTTCCATTCATTGAAAATCTGTGTGCCAGGCCCTGGAGGTCAGGAGGTGTTTTTTGTTTTGTTTTGTTTTTGAGACAGAGTCTCACTCTGTTGCCCAGGCTAGAGTGAGTGCCGTGGCGTCAGCCTTGCTCACAGCAACCTCCAACTCCTGGGCTCAAGCGGTCCTCCTGCCTCAGCCTCCCCAGTAGCTGGGACTACAGGCATGCGCCACCACGCCCGGCTAACTTTTTCTATATATATATTTTTTAGTTGGCCAATTAATTTCTTTCTATTTTTAGTAGAGATGGGGTCTCGCTCTTGCTCGGGCTGGTTTCGAACTCCTGACCTTGAGCGATCCTCCCGCCTCGGCCTCCCAGAGTGCCAGGATGACAGGCGTGAGCCACCGCGCCCAGCCAGGAGGTGTTTGAAGTAACTGATTTGGCCACAAAGCGTCCACTATGGAGAAGGCAAAGGCAAAGGCAGGCTGGGAAGGGTTCAGCGGCTGGCCCAGCTCCCTGGTGGCAGGTCCAGGACCCCACCCAGGTCTGTCTGATGGCACCGCCTAAGGCCCGGGTGATGGGCCTGGCTTCTGGGCTCCCCGCCGGCCCCACCTCGAGCCCAACCCGCCCTGCTCTGCACCCCTGCTCTGCTCGGCTCTCGGCCACCCTCCCCCACCCCTGCCACCCGCCGCTGCCATCAGCCACGGTGCCCGGCCTCCTCCAGGCTCCGAGACCCCGACGCCCGCAGGGAGGGTGGGTCAGCTTCCCTGTCTGGCTTTCCTGTTCCCTCCCGGCCACAAATCAAAACCACCCGCCTGGCAGCTCGGGGCTCCCGCATATGGGAGGCGCCGCCTGCGGGGTCACAGCCCCGCCAGCCCCCTAAGCCCAGATGTGGCATGGAAGGCTGTATTCCTGTGATCTGGGTTTTGGTGAAGAGTGGGAGAGGGAGCAGTTAGCTGGTGACTCTGTGGTCCTGCCCGTCTGCCCCGAGGGGCAAGTGCCAGCCACTGCGCAGTCTCCTCGGGACTCAGGAATTCCCCCCGCCCAAAAATCAGAAAGCTTGGCTGTCGGTAAGAAGTGACCCAGGAAGGCTGGTGTTTGTTCTCTGCACCAGCTTCAGACCTTTACAAAGTCTAAAAGAGAGACGGTTCCAGAAAGTTCCAGAAAGTTCTCACTGTCCTCATTACCCTCCTAAATTTG